CATTGGGGGTGTGTCTGTGAGTCAGACTAGTTTCGGAGAATTCCACTCCTCATCAGTGACCCTTAAGTTATGTGTCATATCTAAAGTTAAATACATTAATAAACGTGTACATTAGGGTAACTGTGAACAAGCATTAACCACAGAATGGACACTAGTGTTATTATGATCAAGCAATAACACAGAATGGACACTAAAGCGATTTTCACTAAGTACTAACCACAGATTGAACACTAGGTGATTATGACCAATCACTAACCACAGAATGAACATTATGGTAATTCTGACCAAGCACTAACCACATAATAGACACTAGGATGATTATAACTGAGCACTAACCACAGAATGAACACTAATCACTAACATTGCTTAGAATTATCTTTAATCGTAAGATTCATTATAACTTTCCAGAAAGCTATGCCACTCATATCAAGTGACCAGTTTCAATATTAAAAAGGGAAGCTAGAATTTTCAGTTTTTGTTCTATTCCTATGTTATAATGTATGTCCACACTAGCATCACACAGAAACAGCCATACCCATACTATCCTGACAATGAATGACCACCTAAGGGCAGGATTAAGAGTAGTTTACAACTTGGAACGTACTGTTCATGTACACTGTATAACGATCAAACTTCTACGGCCTCGATCTCCTCTTCTCTGCCCTGGAAAGGACATTTCTCTGCTTCTGTGCCTCACTTTTTAAATACCACAAGTCAAAAGTAGAACCAAGCTCTCCAAAAATATTATGAAAACTCACGATTATAACAAATAAAACTGCCGCGAGCGGGGCGTAGGAGGATAATAATTTTCCCAGTTGAGGAAAGTTAACTTTCCTTTAAAAACTAAATTCCTGTCACGGAAAGAGAACGATCAAATGAAGCACGGGAAAGTGAAAAATTGTTGAGTAAAGCTATGTTAATTTTATAGGTTAGGTAGTGGTTACAGCTGTATATTACAATGATACGACAACGTTGAAAGAAGTTGAATATAACACAAAATATCATATACATTGTACAATTACTGAGAGTATATAAATAATACATCACCATTCAACAGCACAGCTTCCCATTAATTATTTTTTAGATGGCTAGGCTGTAAAATATCGTTGTTTTTTTAATGATACCGCCAGTGTAAGATCGATAAACTATAGACATGACACGTAGTTGGTACTGTGCATCATGTATTCTTTTATAACAAGGTGATTTGTTGGTAAAAAATGGCATCACGTTTACTAAGCACTTCATTCAGAATTTTTTTTTGAATATTTATCGGTTCTTATGATCTATGCAATCTTTTTTGAGGGACCGTTCCTTTAGTTAAAAACTGAAACTCTTTAGCTAAAATTATTATGTGTATATCTCAGAAGACTCTGTTTGTTGTTTTTATTTGCTATCGATTACCAAAGACATTTTTAGATTACATCATTACCAGCGTTATTTCGAAAAATGTTTATCAAAAGTCAAAATATGTTATCTTAAGTATATAAAAGTAATTGAAATAATACACTCTGGTGATCAGCCGTTAGGGTAATTTATTATGTGAGCCCTTGTTGTTACACTTTTGAACTAAAGGCCTAAATTTTTAGAACTTAGTCTTAGTTTGTGTGTGTCTCCACTTTTCCAGCTGTCTGGACGTGACTTGTCTATGGTGTGCCCGAACTGTGAACCCGAAGGTTCATGGTTGCTACACAAACCGTCTTTCCATAATTTGCATTCGCAAATGCATTATAAAATTGACGACAAATCACACTATTTGGTCTGACAATAGTAGCCTAAGAGTTAGCGGTGGGTGTTGTTGACAGAACCCTTCACAGCGTTCATTACAAAAAACATTACTGTAATATTATATCAATAATTCCAGATAGAGTAAATATATTTAATGCAGCTATATACCACACACGTGCATGCAAAGCATGAAAACTTTCTCGAGCCAATTACTCGAGCACACACACACACACATGCATAATAAGAAGCGCGATCTCTCAAATAACAAAAGTTTACATGACTCAGCACGTTTATACCTAGTCCGCTCACTAATTTAAAACAATGCAGTTACTTGTTATGTTTAGAGATCATGAAAACCGC